TGCTTTGAACGTCTACGAATAATTTCTAAGGCCCAGCATGGTTTCAGACGCAGGTGGTCTTGCCTCATCAATTTGCTGCTAACTCGGGACTCATGGATCAGGTCGGCTGATGAAGGAGTCCCCATTGTTGTGATTTACTTAGATTTTCTGAAGCATCCGAAGGGGTCAGTCACTTCATTCTCCTCCAAATACTTGTTGTTCCCTGCTCACCTGGTTGGAAGACTACATGCACGATAAAGCAATCAAAGTAAGAGTAGTCGACACACACTCCGAAAGCCTGTGCGTCTCCAGTGGTATGCCACAATGATATTTCCTCGGTCCGCTACTGTTTTCAGTCTACTGTAATGACCTTCCAACAAACCTTCTAACTTCGATCTAGATCTTTGCAGATGATGTTAACATATGGAGAGCAATGAGCTCAGCATCAGACAGTGCCTATCTACAGAACAAGCTGGACCGGATTAGTGAGTGGGCAAAAGCGAACCAACTCCTATTGAACTCTGCAAAGTGCCAGCTGCTAATGGTGCGTTGCAGGTTTATCAGTCTAAATCTTCTGAGACGGCACGTTTTGCTACAGGTGACTACTGAACGAGACAGGTATCATCTAGCAAGAAAGTCTCGGTAATTCGGTTTAACACTCGAAAGCAGCAAATGTGGTGAAATTGAACTGGAGTCTCTTAAGGCAAGCTATCGATAAGCCATGGAGCCTGTCAAAGAGTTGTTCACTCTTCCTTATCAACTTAAACTGAAGACCCTAAAATTATACAGTGGCCGGTACCGGCGCCTTCGTGGCGACATTATTATGGCCTACCAGATTCTAAGGAACCCCAACCACGTCTGCCGTCACCTATTACAACTGAACCACAACACGAATTTGAGGGGCCACCAGTTCAAGTTAGCCACACAATACAGTCGGCCAGAATGTCGACGTAACTTTTACTCTCTTTGTGTGTGCCAGCCATGTAAAGCCATCCGAAAGTTCGTCCTTTTCGTTTCCAATTTACCTGTGTTTAAAAAACCGCCCTGATGTTGCCATACCCCGCCTACATTACCAGATATGGCCTGTGTCTCGGCAGATGGTATAATGCGACGAAAAATGCGCAACCGGAATTAAGCGGCATGATTGAGGCTGGCCCTTTCTGTATGCCTCTGTGTTTACACTGTGGTGAGTTCACAAACGATTTTCATCTTATCACTGTTTTCTATCAACCCTGTTGTGTTTCTCATTCTGAAAATCCTACGGGAGTTGCTAAGCATGCGCCTTTTTGCCCGTAACATACCATTGTTCCATCATAACCTTTGAGCGACGGCTATTACCATTGTTCATTAACTCTTATATTTTTCTTCATGTTGAATATACAATTCATGTCTGGTGTACTTGGTTAAAACAAGATATTGCCTACTGCAGCAACACCAAAGAAGAGCCACAAAAGGGAATGCGTCGAGTAGCGGGTTTGTTACGAACTGTCTTCGCTTAGTTAGTGGGTTTTGCTCAGAATACCGAAGGCTTCGTCGAGATCACATTCTCACAGACCGGATACTAACTGAAAGCGAGCATCCACATACATCACTGTTGACTCTAACCCCTTACAACCAATTCCGAGGCAGCCACCTGAAACTTATGACGTAACACTCCGGTTTGAATTGTAAAAAGTATTTTTACTCATTTTAGAATCTGTTTACACTGGAATGCACTACAAACGTAAGTGGTGAGTGCACCAGACGTCACGACATTAGAAAGATTATTAAATTTTAATCTTGGAGATAAACACCATACAACAGTTTGATAAAGTGCAATGGCTTAGCCACCGGTATTTCACGTTCCACGTAGGAACATTTTGATTTAATTTTCTTTTGCATATCCATCCTGTGGGTGTTGTAATTTTATGCTTTGTATTTCATCATGCACTATTGAACAATTGAACTATCAATGGCTTTTTATAAGGAGAACGCTTACAAGCCAAAGGGATCGTCTGAACGAGAAAATCCCGATCCCCCAGCTGACAACTAGGAGTTAGGGGGAAACTTATTGGACCTACATTTTTTGAGAAACATTTGTATTTACCGATTTGTTTCCCTCTGCTAACGCTGTTACGCACATTTGTTTAAACACATCATTCCGCTAATTGCACTGGCCGCTTGTGGTCACTGTTTCTGTTCTTGGATCCTAATTCCACCTAGCTGCTAAAACTTTCTCTTTTCGCTCATTACGTTCCTCGTGCTGCTTTCTTTATTGATCACTCTCCATTGGCTTCATTCTGCTTACATTTCTTCAGAGCAAGTGTAAGGCGCTGCTCCAGGACTGGCAGGTGCCTGAACCCACGCTCACCATTGGTGGACATGTTCTGGAGCAAGTCCCTTGCTTTACTTATCTATGGAGTTGCATCACGACTGGTGGCGGTGTTGGAGATGAAGTCTCACAACTGATTGCAAAGGCCCGCCATGCATTCATCCAAATGAGACATTTATGGCGTCGTCGTGATGTTAGTCTCAAGATCAAGGGCAGGGTGTACAATGTTTCCGTCCGTGCAGTACTCTTGTACGGTTGTGAGACTTTAGCTATTCGATCGGAGGATATGAAGCGACTGTCAATCTTCGACAATCGCTGTCTACGAAGAATCTTTCGGGTGTGGTGGCAACACCACGTAAGCAACGCAGAGGTACGAGACCGCGTACTTGGAGCGAATAGTGCCAGTTTTCAAGGCGTTATTCTCCGACATCGCATGCGTTGGCTCGGGCACGTTTTGCGCATGCCATCCTATCGCCTTCCATGGTGAGCGATCTTTGCACTCCCTGGGAGCGATTGGGAAAAGTGCCGCGGTGGACAGCCAATGACGTGGAGAAGGAGCATGAAGAAGGCCACCTCAACTTTAGCGGTAGTCGGACCAGTCCGTCTTCCAGGTTGAAGACCGCGGGATGCTGAATCGCAGTGATTGGAAAGATTAGACGTCATGGTCCTCAACAGAAATCAGTCCAGTCAATGTTGTTCTGTCATTATATCCCCCTATTATGCACACAAAACACAAACCAAAACCAAAAGATATAAAATGGCGTGTGTAAAACCAAAATGAATCCTTTCCCTTTCTTATATCATAGTTCGTGTTCTCCACTTTTTTCTTCTGCCATGGTTTTGATGGCACATTGTCTGTTAACAGACTGTGAATATATATATATATATATATATATATATATATATGACTTCAGAAATCTGTTTGGTTTAAATGTCTTCTAGTATCTTCCCTTCAGTCCATTCACAGCACTATTTAAACAGGCATGATTCAACGCATACAATTCTTTCCCGGCTTGTTTCTGGAGTTCTTGCTGTCGTGGGGCGAAGGCGTACCCAGGCGACACAAAATGCAGGTTGTTCTATAAATCAACTAACGTGATCAGATACAAGTGGAGAGTTGTTTTTCACATTTCACTTCGGCTATCATCTTTACTTTGACTTTCACAACTCTTTCTACAGATGGCAAAATTATAATATTTAATGAGAGACACTCCATACTCCATAGGATTTTTGAACCTTCACAGGAATTAAAGCGATATTCCGCGATGTGGCGCTGTTGGTGTCGTGTAATCTTCTTTCGAAAACTTGTAGTTTTGTTGATACGTTGTTGCTGGTCTATGGTGAGAGATACTGGTAAGGACACGTATGCTGAGGGCATTCGGGAGCTTTGATCCTTCCATCTATTCTCAGATGAGCCACGCCTTCATTCGGCCTCATTTTGAGTACGCCAACCGCGCCTGGCAGCCATGGCAAAATCAAGACCTTACCGCTCTTGAACTGCCACAACGAAGGACAACCAAGAACGTAAAGGGCCTGTTTCACCTCCCTTACCGATTGAGACTGAAAACCCTCGGGGTCTACAGTGGACAATATCGACGACTGCGTGGCGACTTGATAAGGACTTATATGATCCTGAGGAATCCACACCATTCTTGTGCTCAACTTCTAAAGCTGAATTGCAATACCACACTCAGAGGACACCAGCTAAAGCTTAACGTTTTGAATCGTTCTCCGAGCTGAGTAATTTAATGTCAAACGTTTCACCACTTCCCTCAGTGGCATCTTCAGTGTACAGCTCCGCAGGGGAAATCTCACGAGCTACAGGTATTCCGAATCATTCCAGCTAAAGCTGGCCACACAATACAGCTGGTTGGAATGTCGCCGAGATTTCTTTTCCCTTCGTGTGTGCCAACACTGAAACGCTCTTCCTACATACGTTGTTTCTTCCGCCGCGCTAACGGTATTCAAAAGGCGGCTGCATGATTCGCTTATCCACTTACATTACGCTGTATAATCAGTGGTGTCTAGGTCAACCAAACTTGAACAAACGGTGCTCATTTTCAGCTTCTGTGCTTTACTGCTGTGGAATATCGTTCGGATATAATACAACTGCATTCATCAATCCAGGAAAGCGGCGCGCGGGTAGGTATCGTGGTTTCTTTTGTTCTTAAGACATACGTTCCCTATATTACTTCGCCATATTACTCAACAGTAGCAATTCAATACGCATTCTAAAATGCTTATATGAAGAAAGGCATCTGAATCGCTTGACGCTTAAATTGACCAGTTACACTTATGTTTGCTTTCACTTCAACCATCCTATGGGACCTGTGCAGCAATCGCTTTTTTACCTGTAATATGTCAATGTTCATAGTTCAAAAAACGCCCCTTCCTATGCAGAACCAAACGTTGTTCAATACAGCCAGAATAACACCCAATCGTAACCCATGCGGTAGCCTTAAGATCACAAACCTGCTCTGTAATTTGACGGCGCGGTTTCGAGTCTACTTTGAGACCGGCCGACTCTCGCAGTGTCGTTAGCCTACATGTGAACGGTGGTGGTTGCGCAGCAGCGAAGCGCTGATACTGCATATCGACGGTCCTCCGTTTACATCCGGTTTCAATTTATCACAATCGTACTAAAATGATTATTGCGTAACATCCCTGCGTCCTGTCTTTCCGAATACAGACTCAACTATGTGTCACTCACCTTATCTGGAGTGAAATCAAACATAACGATTGCAGTGGCCCAAACGGATATGGCAATGGTCTGTTCAAATTTCTGCCAATCAATTTTGCCTCTACCTGGTGTCACGTGCAATCAGCGTCGTCTCAGTCTGTAGGTAGAGAAATGGTCGAAGTTATTAGGAAATAGTGGATCATAGTTGTTCAGAGGAGGACAGTTTACCAGCTTCCCTAGTGGATCGTCAGTAAGGTGGTCGGCAAATATCCATTAGCATTCTTGCTAGGTATTGTGTGACCTTTGGTAGCCGGCTTGCCAAACTACCTCCTTGAGGTGCCAGTTGAACGGTTCGGTATTATCCCGTTCCAGCGAATGTTTCGGGGGCAGTGTTCCATGAGTTGGTAAGTTTTCACCCGACCTATGCAAACCCATATATGTCCGTTTAACAACACTCTGACTTGGCGAATGTGACTCACCAGTAAATAAAATTCACGCTCCTTGACTGAACAACGGGGAATGTTGATCCTCAGCAATCTAAAAATTCCCATTTATTAGAATGAAGCAAGGGAGGCATAATCTGAGTAAAGTTTTCTTTTCGGTAATTCTCATTGGACTCAAACATTACATGATGACGAGAATGCTAAATATGTCGGATAGGGCTGCGTATCGAACAGAATGTTTAACTTCAATAGGAACAAATCAATAAATCACGTGGTCATTGAAAGTGGCAAGTATGTACAGGGGAAATCATAGCCGAAGTTGTGGGCCACGGTAGAAGTAAAGGACGTACAAACTGTTTTTGTATGCACAATTCTGGCTTGAGGTGGCGGATGTAGATAGCTCCCGCAATAGACAGAAGATGCTTCCGGAACCCGCGCGAGAAACGTTTAGGAACAGTATGGATGACTTTAAAATCATTTTCCGTCCCTGCGTGACTGCAAACTAGAAGGTGAGACAAAATAGAACTGTTATTGGACCTCGCTTCGCCTTTGTAAAACCACTTTGTGATGTGTTCGCGAATCCTGTGAGATAAGCGCTTTGTTGTACGACCCACGTACCGTGCAACACAGGAGCAGGAGTGAAGATAAACAAGCATTGATCGAGTCACCGGAGGCATCCTGTCTTTCAAAGGTTTTGCGAATAAAGTCTTGTGGTAAAATACTATGCGTAGGCGAGCCGCGAAATAGGTCTTTTCAACATCGTCTCTCAGGCGTTTGGACAGGGCATCAGCCACGCTGTCGCCTTTGAAATTAATATGCATAATTAGTTCTTTCTTGGGTACATTTGTACAAACGAAATCAAGTCCACACTCTTGCTTTCCGGGCACATAGAATTTGCACACCGGACACAATTACCAAAGAATTGCAGAGGATTGGTGACCAGCTAAGAGCAAATGGGTATCCAGCTATATTCATCCTCAAACACTTGAAAGAACGCAAGTTACAACCACCGAGGATGAACGTACCCGAGGAAGAACTAATTATGCATATTCCTTTCAAAGGCGACAGCGCGGCTGATGCCCTGTCCAAACGCCTGAGAGACGATGTTGAAAAGACCTATTTCGCGGCTCGCCTACGCATAGTATTTTACCACAAGACTTTATTCGCAAAACCTTTGAAAGACAGGATGCCTCCGGTGACTCGATCAATGCTTGTTTATCTTCACTCCTGCTCCTGTGTTGCACGGTACGTGGGTCGTACAACAAAGCGCTTATCTCACAGGATTCGCGAACACATCACAAAGTGGTTTTACAAAGGCGAAGCGAGGTCCAATAACAGTTCTGTTTTGTCTCACCTTCTAGTTTGCAGTCACGCAGGGACGGAAAATGATTTTAAAGTCATCCATACTGTTCCTAAACGTTTCTCGCGCGGGTTCCGGAAGCATCTTCTGTCTATTGCGGGAGCTATCTACATCCGCCACCTCAAGCCAGAATTGTGCATACAAAAACAGTTTGTACGTCCTTTACTTCTACCGTGGCCCACAACTTCGGCTATGATTTCCCCTGTACATACTTGCCACTTTCAATGACCACGTGATTTATTGATTTGTTCCTATTGAAGTTAAACATTCTGTTCGATACGCAGCCCTATCCGACATATTTAGCATTCTCGTCATCATGTAATGTTTGAGTCCAATGAGAATTACCGAAAAGAAAACTTTACTCAGATTATGCCTCCCTTGCTTCATTCTAATAAATGGGAATTTTTGGATTGCCGCTCCTTGCCTCTTTCTGAACGGCATTGTAATGCAAATATGTGTTGGACCGTTAGTCCATTGCGGTCCTGAAAGCGTATAAACCACTTGTTTATTCACAGGCTCCCAAATATTTGTGATACCGCCATACCGCCCTGCTTCCTCGTAGGTTGGATCCTGGATCAAAGGCTCGGTGAGGAGCTTCCTAAAACAACCCTCTACTTCGACCTCGGAAACCGGTTTGTATCACGTCTACTGACGAACCATAGATGGATTACACCACTGCATTTACTCTTACTATACCTACGGGCCATATTGTTTCTGTTGTGCAACATCCACTCACTGATCGTCTCACGTCTCGTTCCGTAACTACACCTATGTCTTCCCCGCTCATCGTCAACAACAGCTTACTGGTCGCATCTGACAGAGTTCTGAACCAACTTTTTGGTGTTCGTTGCCCGGTATTCACAGCATTTTCACACTCCGCCAAAGCCCAAACCTTCCTTCGACCTGGTTCTCCCTTCCGCCGTGAACCGTTCATTATGCGCACGCGGATGAATATCGGACGACAAGCATCCCTGGCTTGCACCCCTGAGACACTCTCGGCCCACATCAGTTGCAATGCGGAAATGAGGAAGGAGGACGCCAGAACCGTCATTACAACGACCTCACCGGCAAACCTGACGTCAAATACCACTTGCGCCTTTCCGCAGCCTCAGAGGCCGCCGCTTCCGACCAAGCTGTTGTCGGTGTTCCACTGAGTAACAAGACTGAGACGGCTTTGCATGAGTGGATCCCAGTCAACAGTCGGCTATATGCTGTCAGACTACGAGGTTCATGCAAATTAAGTATGCGTCGAGATGTTGCGCGTGCCTTATCCGTCATCTCCGCCCACGCTTCTACAGACTGCAGCCCGGATGCAGTCAATGATTGCTGTTACTAACAGCTACCTGACCTTCCGCATTCCGCTGAAAGTCTGACATTGCCATTCTTGTCAGAAATTTTAACTTATGAGTGGACTGCCTGCCACCAAGCGAGCACCATCTAGGGGGTAGTTTTGGCCTCGGAGGCAGTCAATCAGATAATGGAGACAGGCTACTGACCCTTGGTTCTGGTCATCGCTTGTTTCATTCGAACACCAGTTTTCGACACTCAAAGAGACATAGAGCTTCTTGACGTCTGCCTTCGCAAACGCAAGACTGGTCCCAGCTTGGCCTCATAGCGATAAGCTACAGATCGCGCGAAGCTTATAAGACTACCGATCGTACTGGTCAATCTGTTTGGACTCCGCTCACGCATTGGTTCGCGCCAAGATGTGCACGCGTTTCGGAGGATCATGCAGACGTATGCACTAACGACTGAATGCCGGAAAGCTGCAACATTCTACGACGTTAGCCAAGTACCAGGCATCAAAATTGCCCATTCCAAAGAACACATCAACCGTATCATTCACATTCCGAGCCACAGGTATTCTCAATAATTTCCAAGTACAAGGCTTCACTGTTAACACCGATCGCCTCTGCTTGTAATGTTTAACTGAATTCGCAATAAGTGTGCATCAAGGACGTCTTAAGTTCTGCCAGTATTGGCAGTTGTGAGTTGTGGATTACCACTGCTTCCTTGTTGCTGATAAGCAGACGCCCCTTGGTCCGGGCCAACACCACCTGTAGTGAGGAACGCCGATCCATGGATCGAGCGTTGCGCGGGAGCTTACAGAAGGGCCATGAGATATGGTGCGTACGTGATAAAGAGACAGAACTTGCTAGTGTCTCTGGGGATACAAGAAAACTGTTCCACCTCATTCGGGTCACCGAAGGTTTCCGATCTAGATTAAGCGAAACCATATGCGAAGCGGATGATTCCCTAATCACTAATCTTCAACTACAGTTAGAGCGATGGGTCGAACAGTTTTGCTCGCAGTTTTGCTGGCCGCCAGCTTCATCTGTTTTCCCTGGAGCGCGCAACAGTGGTGAGTGGACTCTCCTAACTGATCCTTTCTCTCACCGAGAAATTTGGTGAGAACTCTGCTGTCTAGAGTGTTATAAGTCATTCGGCCCGGATAGTCTGCCTCCTGCTTTATTTAAAGTTGGGGGCCATACTCTGGTTTGAGAACTTATCGCTTGGTTCTCAGAAGTCTAGGCAGAAGGGAGGTTTCCATAATTCTAGAATGAGGATGTGGCATTGGGGATCCTCTCCTTGAGCGGATCTGCAATTTTCTCTCGCAGAGACGTCTGGAGATGAGAGTACGTAAATCCATGTCAGACCCAATTCACGTCGAATACTGAGTGGCACAGGGTTCGGTACTGGGGCCCGTCTATTCTTGGTCTTCAGAAACGACCTAGTGAGACGAATTGCGTCAAACTGTTTACGCCGATGACATCAAAGTTTGGCGCGTGATCAGGCCTCCAGAATGCCGTATCCAACTTCAAATCTACCTTGACTAGATTTATGGATAGTCGGTCCAAAATCGCCTTTATTTCAATGTGCCTAAATGTCAAGTGTTCCATTTAAGACACCGAATGGTTCACACATATAAGCTGGGGGACCAGAGTCTGTAACATTGTTCTTGCCAAGGGATCTCGGTGTGTTGGTCCAGGAAGATCTCGGCTGCTCAGAACAGTCCAATAGGGCATCGAAGAAGGGGGTTCAAATCGTGGGACTTTCGCGGAAAGCTTTTAGATAATTCGAACGGTCGATTTTCCGCCAAGTACTTCCCGCTTTTATACGTCCACATACTGAATATGCAACTCAAGCATGCATCCAAAGCTAAAGCGGGATCTCACGGTTTTGGAGCTTCCACTACATCGGGCGACCAAAATGTCAAGGGGCTGCGCCATTTGTCATACCAACAGCACCTCAGAGTGCTTGGAATTTTCAGTGAACGTTATCGCCGTTTGCGTGATGATCTAATGATTGTTTACCAAATATTAAACAATACTAATCACCCGTGCCATCGTCTACCGAAGCTGCCACAACAACCAACTGAGAAGTCATCATCTCAAACTAGCAGAACAATGCAGTCGCTTGGAATGTCGCCCAAACTTCTTCTCCCTGCGTGTTTGCCACACTTGGACTACCCTCTCAGAAGCCGATAGTTAACCCCCCCCCCCAAATTAGCCGTGTTCAAAGCACGTGTCGACAGGGCACTGGTCACATTACACCATATGACGTAATCCAAAGACTCATAAAAATCAAACCAACCCACCTTCATTTTTGTCGGGAAACCACAAGCGATAACCTTGGATAGTACAGAAAATGGACAGAAACGTTATAATCGGAAAGTTCACATTTTGCAGTGGCTCACTATTTCCTATTAACATTTCTGTCTTTATTTTACTCACCCCTAACCGATCATCCGGCGGTACATATCAAACTTAGGCTTTTCTATACACATTATACCATTGAATATTGACCATTGACAGCCATCCCCATCTTCTAAAAGGGCTTGCTCACAAAATGCTCCAATTACCG